TGGGCAGCCTGATCTAGTGGGGGATGTCCCTGCCCATGGCAGGGGGGTGGAACTAGATGGTCTTTAAGGTCCCTTCCAACCCTGACAATTCTAGGATTCTATGATTCTGATCCAATCTCCCTTGGAAGGGACACCTCTCAACCAGCCCAAGGTTACTCAAGGCTCCATCCAACCTGGCTTTGAACACCTCCAGGGAGGGGGCAGCCACAACTTCTCTGTGCAATTTATTCCAGAGTCTTGCCGCCCTCGGGCTTGTGGTTTGATTTCACAAGGAATGAAACAGCTGCCTCCCAGATCAGACAAATAACCGTAATAATACACGGCCAGGTCGACCCAGGAAACAGAGGTAACCAGACATCTAGATCGGAACATGAAGGTATCTCATTGCTCCCTCCATTTGGGGAGCATTTAGCCCGTTGGGTAGTCAAAGAAACACGTGGACTTTTCATACGAACACCAGACTTTTCATCTGAACACCAGATTTTTCATCCGGACACCAGCTGTGAAGCCCCTCTTCGGCTTAGAGAATCTGCAGCAAATTATTAACCCCGCGGTATCTCCCACGCGAAGCAGTCAGGAGGGAGGCGGGGGGGCACGCCCGCGGCAGCTGCACACTCCGACTCCCCCATTAGCAATTTTCCGGAATGAGTTACTGTGGCATCATCCTCTGATGGCAATGACGATGTAACGGTTGAACGGACTAATGAATTTTTAACCTCGGATTTGCTCGCTCTGCCTACGCAAGCAGCGAATTCCAACTACCACGGCCCCACGTTAAGTTTTGCACATAAAACCGATGTCCACTGCGCAATCGAGTACAGCTCTCAGTTAATGGACAGTCTAATCTCAGACACCGATATTCAAATATTTGAAGTTAAATAACATCAAGGCTTGGTAAAAAAAATCGTGATCTTGTTTTGCAAGCGAGTGATAGTTTCTACAAAGCTTTTACATCTTCCCCTAGCATGATCTAAGGATAAAATTATTTTCCCCCACAGCTTGGGAAATCTGTTTCAATTATAAGTCTGGATAGTTTAATTAGGGAAGCATGTTAAGTTTAAGAGAAAAAATTGGATGGGTTAGAAGAAAAACCCTTCTAATACTCCCTAGGGTCTACGGGTCCTTCAACCCAATTTGATGTGAATGAAACCATTATTGTTCTTTTGACTCCCGCTGAGCCATTATGTTAACGGTTTTCTAGAGGCTGGAGCAGCATTTTACTACATGTTTTCGTTATTTCACTAGCCAGCATTTTAGCCTTAGACATCAGAAGCCTCAAGGTTTAAACTAGGTTTTGTTCAATATTCTGAGAAAGCAATCTCCTCTTAATTTTATAGATCCTCATACAAAATTTAGATTGGCATATTTGAATTGAACTGAGAGAAAAGCCCACGTCTCTCTTTTTCCCTCTTTTTAAGCATCAGTCAGCTTAACACATTAAAACCTGCAGCGACGAAGACTCGACCAAGCAAATGAAACTGAACACACCCACCGACAGATATTTCCTGCCATAAAAATGCTCTCATGTTGGATGGGAGGGAAGAGTCACACCCTAATAAAATTGAACAGAGAAAACAATAAAAAGGGTTAAAAGGAAATAAAAGGATTATTATCAAGCTATACGGACTGAGCCAAACCTTTAGGTGAGATTTTATTGCATTAAAATGTGAGCTTTGATGATCCAGCTGGTGTTTTGACTGCTTTAGAGCCAAAATCCTAACGTTTTTTAACACCCTGGGTGTGCAGCTACATAACAGACAAAACCTCCTTGAAATAAAGTTGCCTTTAAGTAAGTTGCAAGGAATATCTAAGCAATTACATCCCAAAACCGATTTGCTGCTTTGGCTCGAAATGGGAAGCAGGCTTCAAGTAATTAATGCTTAACACCACTTTCTCTGCAACTGCACCAGCAGAATCGTGAAGCAAACAGTGGGCGGTTTGGTATCGAGTATTCTCAGAGGCTTCTGTTCCTGTGATAACGCAGTGAAACAAATTGAACAGGTAAGTGCAATTTTCTTGGGAAAAAATAAAAGTGATGAGCTGTAAGCTCTGGGTATTTTTCAGAAGGCACGCCATGTAAGATTTTATACAGACGTTTCTCACGCGTGTATAGCAAGCTCTGGAAGGAGCACAAAAGCTCTAAGCTAACCGAAGCAACAAAGCTGTGAGAGATGAGCAAGAACAGCTAGAAAGAGCAGTAATCAGGCTGGTGACAACTCAGTTTAAATGGCAAAATCCCTGCAGCGCAAACCTTCTCACAGGTCTCTGATGACCAAAAAAAAATCTTATTAAGCCCTGTTCTTGCACGTGGTTTAAAACAGCATCTTTATATCCCATAGAGCCCAGAAACTCCATAAAAACCCACCAAGCAGCTGATCCAAGCCTCCAATTTTCCAGCAACACCTCATCTTCCAGAAAGCCTGATGCATTATCCAAGTAACCTGAGTATGGCAAGAACCTTCCCTTGGAGGAATGGCAGCACTTTGGGTTAGCGATGGCAAGTAAGTCTTAAAACACCTCCTCACCACCCGTTTTCTGCACACCTGAGCATGTCATACCGGGTTCCTCACCTGATAGGGACAAGGGATGTGATATTCTCTGCAGCGCTCTTGAATCCACGTCGTCTCCCACACGCCTCGATAAGCCTGCTCGTAGAAATAGCAGCCGATCACAACCAACAGCGGCACGAGGTACAGAACGCTGAACACGCCGATCCGGATCATGAACTTCACTAGTTTGTCCTGGTTCTCTTTTTCCAACGGGATTTCGATGCGAACCCGATTGAGAGAGATAATGCCAGCTAGCAGAAGGGAAACTCCGACCACAACGTACAGGCAGAGAGGTGCAAGGACGAAGTATCTCAACGCATCCACGTCGTAGAGGCCAACAAAACATACGCCGCTAATGTTGTCACCTTCGATTTTATTCATCGCTAAGAGGATGATGGTGAGAGTTCCTGGGATGCCCCAGGCGCTGGCGTGGAAGAGCAACGCCTTCTTCTCGATCGCTTCGCTGCCCCATTTCGGCACAGCCGCCAAGAACCACGTGATGGTAAGGATGACCCACCAAACGCTGCCAGCCATGGTGAAGAAATAGAGCACCATGAAAAGCATGGTGCAAGCTTTGTTGTGAGAGCCCTGGGTCACTGTGGAAGCCTTGTACTGGGCAGGGCTCGAGGCGTTACACGCTACTCGGTCTTCGAGCAAAAAGCCAATGAAGAAAATTAACGACACCATCATGTAACAGACGGCGTAAAATATTATCGGTCTTTCCGGGTAGCGAAATCTTGTGACATCGATCAGGAAAGTTAAAAAAGTGAACAAGGTAGCAGAAAGGCAGACGATGGAGATCACTCCGATGAAGTAGCGAGCGAAGGAGAGCTCTTCGCGGCGGAAGTACATATTTGGGCAAGGAGGGGAACAGTCCCGTACCCTCAGGAAAGAGTAACCCAGGTCAGGGTCTATTTTCAACTCCCGAGGACACCAAAAACCGTAATCCCTCTGTACTGCCATTGGGGCCTCTTCTGTGGGCTCCCCAGCTAAATTGAGGTCAACAAGACGAGGATATGGCTCGTCGCAATCTGGGAATCTAAAAGCAAGAAAATAATTATTTGCAAGAGATATACACATACCTCTCAAAGACTAGTAACCTTTTTTATACATCTCACTTTAGACACATTAACTGGAGCGAAAACAAAGCCAGTCCAAATTCTGGGTAATTCAGGAAACACTACATTATCTATAAACAAACTCTACAACTCATTATGCCAGAACACAGTGGATGTTGAAACCGTAAAACAGGTTTAAAAATAAAACAGAGAAATAAACAGACAAGAGGCTCAGTGGGGCATTAAGCATCAAGGTGAGGATACAAAATCCATCACAGGGAGTGTATAAAGTTTAGTGTAGTCTGAGCCCCTGTGCCCAAGGAGGGAAGGTTTTATAGACTATTTAAAAACCTGTCCCTAAGCAACTCTGCTAGCTGCTACCAAACAGGACAGTGAGTTAGTTGGATCAAAAACCCAACGTAGCATCGCTACTAGCATTAATAAATTGAAATGATGATGAAGATACTTCTGTAATTAATCTCTGGCTGGAGGCTAAAGACCGCTGGGGATGCAATCTGAAGTTTTGAAGGAGAGACTGGAGGGATTCCACGTCGAGCTGCCCAGTTCCTCCCTCTGTCAGATGTTATTGCCTCAGTGTCCTGCGTTTGAGCTAAAACCCAGTCCTA